TCACCGCACGGACCACCTCTTCAGGCTTCGGGTCTTCCGATGCCATCACCACCGACGCCACGATCGCCACCAATAGGCCTACGAATACTAACTTTGGACTCATTTTTGTTGAGTTTTATGATATTGTAAAGTATTATACGATATCTTGTTGTGAATATTGAATTGGCTGACTTTAATTTGGATTTTATTATATACCGTATATGCAGTATAGTAAGCTGATTTATTTATAAGTGGATAAGGTAACTATCACGCTATGTTTGAAGTTTTTTGAATTAAAATTTTTGTTTAAATTTTAGATTGTGTCAAGCTCAATATGCTGCAGAATGTATTTTTTATTTAACACAAAATACCAAAAATGTGCTTATATTTTATAATTTTATAAATGAAATTATAGTTTAATATTGTAAATAGTTTACAATAGTTTGATATAATACAACATTATCAAACAAAATATTTATTTATTTAATATAATTTTCAAATTATTATTACATAAGAAAATCGAAAGAATATTATCAGAATATTCTTATATCAACACAAATAACAGGACTCTGACCAGAATTAGCACAACCGATAGTATTTGTCCCAAAACGGGCACTACATTGATCCCAGCCTAATGGCCCAGTATTAGTACCAGTGACCCAATGAGACCCCTTTTCTCGCGCAATACCTGTCCCAACTGACTGTTGGCAATCAGATCCCTGGCCTCGCGAACCACTTCCATAACGGTTGGCTCTTCAGACGCCATAACCACTGACGCCATGATTACCACCAATAGAGCCGTGAATACGAGCGTTGAATTCAATATGATTTCCGGGTTTTTACTATAAATCTGATGTAAAGAATAGGATTTTAAAAACTTATATTTTTTAAATTATTGAATTAGCAGGGTGAAGTAAATTATGATTTACAGTGTGTTACTTACTGGGCAGTGTGCGAATATATAAGTAATATATAAGCTGATTTATAAATTGTTTGTGAAAACAGTTTTTAAAATACAATATTTTAAAATATGCAATAATTTTGACGGCATGTCAGCCACAGTTGTATTCATTAAAAATAACATCAATTGAAGCACAACATGCTATAACAAGTTAAGTATTTTTAAATGTAAAATATTGCTAGTAGTTAATTAAAACTTAAATATCGGATTTATTTTAAAGTATTATATTTAAATTTAGTTAATAATTATATTTTTAATTAAATATTAATCTTTAATAATCATTTATAACATAAAATTAAATAAAACTATTATTTCTACTCAAAATAGGATAATCTATTATATGATTTGTGTGTTGATTACAGTTTACATTTTGAAATACTTAGCTGACTACAGCACAATCTCGCCCAATTGTTTTAATATTAAAAAATTTTGTTACATTTATAGATTTAAAATTTTTATAAACTTTATACGTTTTATCTAAATACAGTAAACAGCAGTAATAGCTTTTAAATATAATTAAAACATTTTACACAAATAAATATTTAAGTTGCATTAAGGCGCTGCTAACTATGGGCCCCAGAAAGGGGAATAAACCGATAAGGGCTGACATCAAGTCCACAAACATGCCAAATATACCCCTCTTGTCACGTGGTAACTGTCCAACATTCAGACGCTTAGTCAGCATATCCCTGGCCTCACGAACCAGTTCTTCAGGGGTTGAGTCCATAGACGCCATAACCGTCGATACGATGACCGCAACTAATATACTAATGAATACTAGCTTTGAATACATATTCAACAGTAGCCTTAAGTTACTTATGTTTCAAATTGAACTGAAATTTAATGAGAGACAGAATTGAAATGAATTTAGAAACTGCTTTCCATTTAATATAATTATATATAGGATATTTTTGAGGTTAATTGTGCCATGATCATGCCAGTGCCATCATATAGATATCAGGCGATTATATGATTATGGCGTGAATTACTAAATCTCCTAACTGTGCATGATATGTTATAAGGCGATTGTTTTAAAAATATAATTTTATGAAACACTCATATCTACCTATACTATAATATATTGTATATAAATATATAAAATTCTGATTACATGCGACAAACCGTTCATTTAGACTCTAGACTTACATTAAAAATATCTGTTTAAAAATAATTGTAGTTTTGATATGTATTCAAAGGTAGTAATGGTTGGTCTATTGGTGGCAATCATGGTGTCGGTAGTCATGGCGGGACCGACTGAAAAAGCTAAGCCGACGGCCGTCCCAGAGGTGGCCCGACTGGTGAGAGAGATGTACGACAATAGTGTGGCCAAAGAGATGGCACGTGATAAACGGGGTGTCGTGACCGGGGTAGTGGACCTGATAGCCAGCATACTTATGTTTGTGCCATTCTTTGGACCCGTATTCGCGGCATTCATATTTGTTTGCAGAAATATTCTAGTTTAATAAGTTTTAAACAAAATTTAAAATTTTTAATTAATAATCATGTGTTTTTTTTGTAAATGTTTGAGTGTTTTATAATAAATAAGTTGTTAAATTACATTAGGATTTAGTTTCAATTAGAGATAAATTTATACTAAATTTAAGAGTTATATAAAATATTTTAAATTTCCCCAAACTGAATACAATGAAAATAAATAATTTATTATTATAAATTATAATATTAGTAAATTTTATAATACACCAATATAGTATAAATATAATTATTGTTGAGAATTATGAAAGGACATAATTTATATGTCATATTATTATTCATACATAATCAGTGAGAGTGATTTCAATATGTAATAACATATAATAAATTATTATCAGGGCGAAGTAAATTGCAATTATATATATTACCTACTGGACAGTGTGCAAATATAAGTTATGATTAAATTGATAAAAAATATGCGTGGTTAGATTTAGATTGTTTTGAAAAGCAGCTTTAAAATACATAATTTAAAAATCTGCAATAATTTTGTAGGCATGTCCGCCACAGTTGTATTTATTCAAAAAACATTAATTATTTTAATATTATAAATTTTGTTACATTTATAGATTTAAAATTATATTAACTTTATACTTTTACCTAAACACATTAAACGTAATTAATAACTTTTAAATATGATTAAACATTTTAAACAAATATATATTTAAGATGCATTAAGACCGAGCTAACTACGGGCCCCAGAAAGGGGAATAAACCGTTAATGACTGACATCAAGTCCACAAACATGCCAAATATACCCCTCTTGTCACGTGATAACTGTCCAACATTCAGAGGGTTAGTCAGCAGATCCCTGGCCTTACGAATCAGTTCTTCAGGGGTGGAGTCCGTCGACGCCATAACAAGTCCACAAACATGCCAAATATACCCCTCTTGTCACGTGATAACTGTCCAACATTCAGAGGGTTAGTCAGCAGATCCCTGGCCTTACGAATCAGTTCTTCAGGGGTGGAGTCCGTCGACGCCATAACCGTCGATACGATGACCGCAACTAATATACCAATGAATACTAGCTTTGAATACATATTCAGTAGACTTAAGATAGTGTTGTTGTAGTAAATGAACTGCAAATATAATGAGAGACAAAATCTAAATGAGTTTAGAATTTGTTTTCATATTTAATATAATTNGTGGAGTCCGTCGACGCCATAACCGTCGATACGATGACCGCAACTAATATACCAATGAATACTAGCTTTGAATACATATTCAGTAGACTTAAGATAGTGTTGTTGTAGTAAATGAACTGCAAATATAATGAGAGACAAAATCTAAATGAGTTTAGAATTTGTTTTCATATTTAATATAATTATTTGTAGGATTAATTATGAGGTTCATGGTGTTAAATATAGATATTATACAATTATATGATTATGGCGTGAGTTACTAAATCTCCTAACTGTGCATGATATTTTATAAGGCAATTGTTTTAAAAATATAATTTTATAAAACACTCATATCTACCAATACTATAGTATGTAAAATTTTAATTATATGCGACAAACCGTTCATTTAGACTCAAGACTTACATTATTAATACATTTAAAAAAAATTTTAGTTTTAATATGTACTCTAAGGTAGTAATTACGGGGTTATTGGTGGCGCTCATGGGCTCGATAGCCATGGCTGTGACTGAACCGACACCCGTCCCAAAGGTGGTCCGACTGGCGAGAGAGATGTATGACAATAGTGTTGCTAAAGAGATGACACGTGATAAACGTGGTGCCGTGACCGCGGTGGTGAACCTGGCAGCCAGCATACTTATGTTTGTACCATTTTTTGGACCCGTATTCGCAGCATTCATATATGTTTGCAGAAATATTCTAGTTTAATAAGTTTTAAACAAGATGATATTTTGTTAATTAATAGTCATGTATGTTTTTTGTGGTTGTTTGTGTGTTTTATAATAAATAACATTTTAAAGTTATAATAAGATTTTGTTGTAATTAAAGATAAATTTATACTAAATTTAAGAATTATATAAAATTGTTTAATTTCTCCAAACTGAATACAATGAAAAAAAAACACAAAAAAACTTTTTTAAAAATTAAGTTCAAAGTCGTAACAGATTATCCGGTCCGTACTGTATAGTGAGTGTGAGAGAGAGATTTCAATATGCTATAAGTTTTAATAAAATAAGTTTTAAAAATTAAAATGCAATTTATTCATTTGAATGCAATTTTTAAAATAAATTATTCATAATTTTAGATAAAAATTAAAAATAATATAGAGTACAAGTCCAAAAATAGGATACAATAGATGACTTGTCAACTCCTACATCCGTAATACCTGTCCGATAATTATCGTAACAAACAGATACACGAATCCATGGATCCATTCATCAGGTTCTGTCTCTATTGGCATCATTACCGTCGATGCATATGATTTACCACCAAATAAACACATGAATGCATTAAAGGGTAATAGAAAACAGTTTTCAAATACAATATTTAAAAATCAGTCGGCATATCAGCCATAGTTGTATTCATTCAATCATTGTTTTAATATTAAAAATGTTGTTACATTTATAGATTTAAAATTTTAAAATAACTTTATACTTTTATCTAAATACATTAAAACATAATTTATAACTTTCAAATATAATTGAAACATTTTAAACAAGTATATATTTAAGATCCATTAGGGCCTTGCTAACTATGGGCCCCAGAAAGGGAATTAGACCGATAAGGACTGCACACAAGTCCACAAACATGCCAAATATACCCCTCTTGTCACGTGATAACTGTCCAACATTCAGAGGGTTAGTCAGCAGATCCCTGGCCTTACGAATCAGTTCTTCAGGGGTGGAGTCCGTCGACGCCATAACCGTCGATACGATGACCGCAACTAATATACCAATGAATACTAGCTTTGAATACATATTCAGTAGACTTAAGATAGTGTTGTTGTAGTAAATGAACTGCAAATATAGTGAAAGACAAAATCTAAATGAGCTTAGAAACTGTTTTCATATTTACTATAATTATTTATAGGATTATTTATGAGGTTCATGGTGTTAAATATAGATATCATGCAATTATATGATTGTGGCGTGAATTACTAAATCTCCTAACTGTGCATGATATTTTATAAGGCGATTGTTTTAAAAATATAATTTTATAAAATACTCATACCTGCATATACTATGATATATATAAATATATAAAATTCAAATTACATGCGACAACACGTTCATTTAGACTCTAGATTTACATTATTAATACTTTTTTAAATAATTGTACTTTTAATATGAATTCAAAGGTAGTAATTATGAGTCTATTGGTGGCTATTATGGGGTCGGTAGCCATGGCTGTGACTGAACCGACACCTTTCCCAGAGGTGGCCCGACTGGCGAGAGAGATGTACGACAATAGTGTGGCCAAAGAGAT